GTAACCAATGCCAAATCCGGCAAAACAACTGGCCGCTGTGATACAATTGTATAATAATAATAATAAAGTCCGAGTATTCAGCACCGATATTTCAATGCAGTTTGGCATGGAAAAATGTGCCACTGTATCCATAAAAAGGGGCAAAATCAGGTCTGATAAATTCAGAATTTCCATGCATTTAGACAGCCCTTTGGGTATTAATATTGGTACAACCACTGATTTCTTCCACCACAATTGCTCAACTTCAATTTGCAGATTGCAGTATTTTGATATTTTTTCTAATTGTTTCTCTTCAATTCAGGTAACACCTGGTACCGTAATATTAATGAACCAGACCTTTTTCTTTTCCATAATAGTGATGTCAGGCGTGTTGGGGTCAGATGTCTGTCTCATTTTACTGACCTTGGAAGGGTGGAAGGCTGAGTCAACCTTGAGCCAGTGAGACTCGAACTGCCAAACTGCCAGCAGCTGGCAATCAGCAGAAGTAGCATTCAGCATTTTATATAAATATAAAACTGTAAGCCTCAGTGTATTTTATTGAGTGCCACTTCTGTACATTTCTATAAGAAATTGTAAAAAGAACTTCTCTCTCTAAACTTGGTTGTCTAGTATAGTTACCTTGCATAGCATGAACTATGATACAACATCTGTTTTACTGAATTCATATACAGATGATACATATACAATAAAGGATTGGTTCCCAAAGGCAAATAGCAGAATATTTATAACTGAAACAGTTGCTCAGGGCTATTGAATTCAAGAGATTAGAGCCATGGCATCAGGACTGACATCTTATCTTTAAAGAATCACAAGAAAGCAGCAAATGACTGTGAAGAAGACATGCTGGTTTTAAATGTAGGAAAATTCAGCAAGCAAGTTGGACTGTTATTAAATGAGTTTAGTTTATTTGAACCTTATGTTAGGAAACTGCCAGCTAGACTAGAAGGGTTAAGCAACTATCCAGCTTGGAATCATTAGATAGCTGCAAGCAGCATTCAGACCCCCCCCCCCCAGATCTATAAAGTTTTTTCTGCACATTCTCAAGGAAAGACAAGCAGTCTGGAGATATTCTTGCAACAGTGGTAGAAGACAATAAAGTTGATTACTTTAACTATTTATAAGTGGCTCTGGTTCCTTACTCCTGATATCATTCCCCAGTTCAAGTAGAAGATATACAAAGGAAGGCAGTCAAACTTACTAATCAATGAACCCATATTCATTAATAGATAACGTGTGAGTGATACATTCTTGAGGATTGGCTCCAATTGAAAGAATCCTGGTTACAGTATGTAATCAGCATTTGTCACATGGAAAGGACCATGTGACTATGTAGAGGGAATTACATCTGACAGATTGCTCCATCCAGATGATCATAATTTTCCCAACCAAATTGTCTAAAGGTTAAGTGATTTAATTACTTTTTGAAAGTTTATTTTAAATGCATTGATGCAATAAATAATTACTCATAGTATATGCTCTTAAACAGCAAGAAGTTCTATACATTTTGATCTACTGATTGTGTATATGCTAATGAGGTATTGAAAAACTATTCTAAAATAACACCAAACCATTCATTTTATGATAATATCATAAGATTACAATGCAAATATCCTTATTTTCAAGATCAGAAAGGAATCTTGACCAACCTATCCTAATTAAGAAGAGACATGTTATCAAGAAATAAATTCTGTCCCTTTCAAATCGGAACTATTATAATATATGTACGCTTGATAAAATTTAGGCCCAAATACTTTCTTTTGAATAACAAAAGAAATGGCCGTTGGAGAAAATTCAATATCCATAATTGAAGAATAATAAATTTCTTATATAATTTATCTTCTCCCAATGTTCAGTTGTTTATTTGTCTGTTGGAAATACTATTTTAGAATAATTTAGCTTCTACTTTCCAAGAAACAAGTTTTCATGAATATAAAGTGCTCACCAAATATATTTGCTAAGAAAAACAAATATGTCAAAAATCAAAAATTGGTTAGGCATCTGTCTTTGTACAGTGAATTCCTACCCAGAAAGTGAAAATGAAAAGACCTACTCTATAATTGTTAATACACAGCTATTTCTATAGAGTTAGACATGTAAATAAACTATTTAGCTTCTTTGTAATAATTATGCTGAAGCAAGATAGATTTTAGTTTGATTGCTATCCCAAAATTTGTTTTGCTATCTAGATTTATATTTAATTAATTGATGCTTGTATGTGTGGGTGTGTATTATTACAATGCAAATTATCAAAACAGTTCAATCTGTAGTAAAATTGATAGGGCAGATTGATAGAGATCTAGTTATAGATTCATGAACAGAGTTATGTACAGAATATATAAACTTTATATATGCTAAATATTTTGAAAAAGCAATTTAAAAAACACAAGGCACTTCACTTCCATTATTTCACTTCCAGAAAGCAAAACTACAAACACAAAAAATAGCCTCTGGTTATACAACTTTTTTAAAGTTTGAAAAGTTGAGACAAACAGAACTGCAAATTTAGGGTGAAAATCAAAGCATATGTGCTGAGATATACCTTATTTATAATGTTTTACCAGCAGGATGTGTAGGACATCCATCCCAATATGGTGCAGCATTTTCGCATACTAAAATCAATGGGGCACATGGTCTGGGCTCCAGTTTCTTTATAGGAATCTATATGACCTCAATGGAATTTTTAATCCTCTGCTCTTTTTTAAAGCTTAATGTAGGAAATTGGTGGCACATGGTCAGCATGTGTTCCCTACATCAGACGTTTTCCAGCATGGTGCTAATTATAGTTGTATCAGACTTGAGCTGAAAAATATTGGCTGTCTACAAATTGGCAGTGAAAGAATACAGAAACATGTTCCAAAGGTGCTTTTTTCAAGAAGCCTGGATGAGAAGCAAAACATCTTCAAGCAAAAACAAAGAAAGTCCAGTTGCCTTTGGAAAAGGCATCTTTGGGAAAACCATAACCTGGATGTCTGAGAATCTCCACAAACAATACAGAAACAGCTTACTCTTTTTTGCCATCTAATGATCATCTGAATCTCTGTAGCTCAGATCTAGCAGTCTATTTAATTGCCCTTCTTTATATATCTATAATTCATTTTAAATCCTCTATTATTTTTATAAATAATGCAATTAATATACTCTTCACTCCTTCTGTTTGTCTTACAACAACCACCCTGTGAGATGGGATGAGAGAGAATAACTAGCCCAAGGTCATCCAGTTGGTTTTCATGCCTAAGGTGATACTATAACTCACTGTTTCTTAGTTTCTACTCTGGTGTTTAAATCATTAAACCAAACTGGCTACCAATCTCTATGCAAGTAAAACTCATTTGGAAGGAGAGGGTTAAGTTCTATTCTATAGGAATCCTCCAACATCTGAAATACAATGAAGTGAAAGGGGCAAATGGTTTATTTTCCCTCCTATTCAATACTGTTATGATTAAAAAGGATTTCAACAAACAGGAAAACAAACACCTTCCTATGAACTATGCTAAATATTTAAAATTAGCTAATCATCTTTTCCCTTAGCTATAAAATTTACATGTAAGTTCAAATCTTTTATTTGCCTGCTTTCCATCTATAAATGTAAATATATGTATTCATTTATATCTATACAGATGACTATCCTTCTTCCTAGGCCCTTCTGGGTGACAAGAGTGGTGAGCTTTGCTGAGGACTGGGAGTACTTCTAACCTTTGTCATTGAAAGTTTCTTGACAAAGGAAAAAGATAATACTGGCTAGGAGCAAATATTGCCTTCTTCCTAGTCTAACAGAACTATAATTATCCCAGTCTTTCTTGCCCTTCTCCTCAAATATTTAAGGTTTCTCTAATTATCTGTTTCCAGGCAAAATACAATTTCCCCAAAATGAATACTGTAATATTAATTAATTAATATGAATGGAATGCTAACTGCAATGTACAGTTAACTAAATGCACTAAAATCATATAGTTAATTACACCCCTATTTGAAATAAAATATTATATAACATAATAAATAATAGATTTGGAAGGGACCTTGGAGGTCTTCTAGTCCAAGTTCAAGCAGGAGACCATTTCAGACAGATGGTTGTCTATTTGTTTTAACCTCCAGCCCCGTAATCATTCTTGTTGCTCTTCTCTGCACTCCATCCAGAGTGTCACCATCTTTTTTATATTGTGGTGACCAGAACTGGATGTAGTATTCCAAGTATGCTCTTACCAAGGCTTTGTAAAGTGGTACTAGAACTTCACATATTATTGATTCTTTCCCTGTATAATTATATTTTTAATTCATAAAATTATATTTTATAGAGTAGAAAAAATATATCTTACTTACTGAGGTTCCATTTTAGACCTGTTGTTGTTACACATTCACAAGGATTCCCAACTGGAATTAGACCACACCACTTTCCTTCAAGTCCTGTGTTCACAAGAAGTTTGTGCTTGCCCTGTAACACATAGAGAACGCTGATGCAGGCTTAAAGTACGCAAACACAAATGCTATGTTAAAACAAGTAAAGCAGACATAAGTCAAATCTGAGACATTAAAATATGGTATAGGGTTTTTTAAAAATCTTTTTTTCCCCTCTGAATTATAAGTGCCATTGAATTTAGTGTTGCTGTTTTGTTCAAAACAGAATATACATGAAATTCGTACCTTTACAAGAATATAGATGAAATATGGAAAGCTCTTCTATGATGAAATGTATTTTTAATATAATGTAAACCCAAAATCAATTTAAGTTCTCATAGGTTTTGACCTAATCTATTTATTGATTGCATTGTGGATCACCCAGATCAAGTCCTAACCCAGTCAATTAAGTTTCCAACTTCCCCTTTGCAGATGATTTGGAAATAACAGGAGAATATTTGCATTCCAGACAAGAATTGAACCACAGAAGAAGAGCTTTTTGAAATGGGGAACCATTTAGGATTATACAATTTTAAATGAAATGAAATGGATAATTGGCTATTAGCCTTGAATGCCAAGAATCTCTGGATTCAGTGGCCCAAAATTTTTGAGTATCAGTTGCTAAAAGAAAAAGGGGGTAGGGTCTCTGTAATGATTTATAAAACTTATTTACTTAATTGCCTATCTAACTTTAAAACATAAGTTTCCCAAATAACTAAGCTTATGAATTCTTCATGAGAATCTCTCTTCTCATTATTGGTACAAGTTATTGGGCTAGATGTAGATTTGATCTGATGACTCATTATGAATTTTACTAAAGCTATTGGTTTCAGTTTCAAAACAAAAAAATGACAAAAAATTACGAAGATTGGATGCAAGGAGTCAAAGGTCTGTATTATGACACACATTTTATCATTTAATCTATCCCCCAATTTGGATTCTTAGGAGCTTTAGGTTGCATATGTTTATATAGTCCTCTCCACTCAAGATGATTTTAGTTTATTTATTTAAAACATTTATATAGCCGTCATCTTCTAACCAACTCTGGGCAGCTTCCAATCAAAAATTGAAACAACATTTAGAATCATATGAAAACTATAAATTAAACAGATGAAAACATTAGAAAGACCTGGTGCCAGTCAAATTTCTAATATTCAATTATTCCAACTTATCCCAGCACTTACGGCAAAAGCCATGTCACCAAAGCTTTACAGAAGGTTAAGAGGATAGAGGGCTTCCAAACTTCAGGGACCACGGCAAAGGCACACTTCCTAGCTCTCATCGGATGGCAATATTTAGGGAAAAAGACTAGGAGTATACCTAAGGTGACCAGATTTTCAGATTGGTAAAGAGGGACACCTTTGACCGGCGGCGGAGGGGGGGGGGCTTGATTAAAAATTTTATATTTTGTCAAAAGGTCACCCCAGGACACTGAAACCAGCATAAATACGAATCTGTTGCCAAANCATTACATAAAGCAGCATCTCTCTGCAAAGTGGTCAACCAGGAGAGACAACATTTTACTCTACAGAGGGGACTCTGCATACCATGTCTGAGCATAACAGTGAACAAGGGGGAACTGACTGCTGGAGGGAGATGGAACCCCTCCACAACCAGAGATCTGCTCCTTGTACCCTGGGAGAGAGAACGAGGTGAGCCTGGAGGACCCCAAAAAACCCCGTTGGTCAATCGGAATCGGGATGAAAGATGGCTGGGAAGGGAGAACCAGAGGAGTCACTCTTACCCGAGGTAGCCGAAAACCAAAGTGGAAATTGGAGTTAGAAGCCCCCTCTGATCAGGAGGAGCTAAATGAAGCCTTGCTGAGAGAGGATCCTCTGAAGATGCATGTAACCCAGTTGGTGATGGAAATTTTGGAAAATCTCAACATCTGGGGGGAGCCAGACCGGCAACCGAGAAGCATTGGAAGGGCGGCAAACGGGGTTGATGCCAGAGGAACTAACCCCCTCTGGTCCCTGCTGATCAAGCTGATGGCACAGCAGCAACAGCAAGGAACACAGAAAACTCTCCCCCCAGTTGGCGCATGGGTTGGGGCCCACCCTTAACTGACCCTGAAACCTGCAGTTAGAAAGGAAAACTCCTTCCCTGGGGGTAAAATTTGATGGGAATCTGAAAAAATTGGGATTATTTGTGGCACACGTGCTCACCTACATGCAAGAATATGGGTGTGATATTTGAACCGAAGGAGCCCGAGTGCAAGTGGTTACCCTAGCCCTAGAAGAAGCTGTCACCAGACAGATGGTGACTTTACATGATGCTGATGCACCAGAACTGCAGGACTTTGACCGTTTCATGATGACCCTGCGATGACGGTTCGAGAACCCCCTCGCAGACCGCAAAGCACGCAACCACATTAAAGTTGTGAAGCAGGGATGCTGGCCAGTGGCAGAGTATATTGAAGAATTCTGAAACCTGGCATGTCATGTGAACTGGCCAGANCCAAAATAAAGCAGGGTTTTTTGAGAACCGGGCGGGACGCGGGAAAAATGATGAAAAGTCATGCCTGTCCCGCCAGATGCGGGACGTCTGGTCACCCTAAGTATACCCATCTTATATGACCTCATAGGATAGGTAGATGTCCTTAGAGATATGGCCCCATATAGAGCTTTAAAGGTGATAACCAGGGCCTTGAATTGTGTTCTACAAGAAAATGGAAGCCAGTGCAGTTTGTACATAAAGGTGTTACATGAGGAAACCTTGGGGTCCCAATTACTGTTTATATGTCTGCATTCTAGAACAGTTGAAGTTTCCTTGAGATCTTCAACACCACTCTCATGTAAAGTGTATTGCAATAATTCAAATGGGAGGTGACCAAAGCAAGAGGGATCGTGAGCAAGTTTAGTACAGTTGGAGAGAACAATGCATTCAAATTTCCAGTTTTAGAAAAAAACAGTGAGAAGGTTTTAATCATGTATCTTATTTTATATTTTGGATTAAGTAACCAGTTATTAATTCATCTTATTTGTCCATTAGAGCTTTCATTTAAATTATTTAAAACCGATTAAAAAAGAAGATACAATGCTATACATTTAAAAATGTTGAAATATTAAATACATGTTAAAAGTCTATCACTGTCATAAATAGAATTTCAAAGGTCTATGGGGCTTCTCAGTCATCCAGGTCATGATTATCCCAAAGGTATTTTTCCAAGAGGCAACTGGACTTTTTGGTTTTTCTTTGAAGATGTTCAGCTTCTTATCCAAGCAGCTGAAGAAGCTTCTTGGATGAGAAGCGGAATGTCTTCAAAGAACTAGAAAGTCCAGTTGCCTCTTGAAAAAGCATCTTTGGGATAGAATTTCAATGTTTTTTTTTTTTTGCTAGAGGGTTCTTGCCTCAGCACAAGGATGGCTACACTACAAAAACTAGTTAGGTGGAGCATATAAAGTCTAGCACATATCACAACAATATAAATAAATAAGCAACCTAAGTTATCTGGATCCACAAGTGCAGTTATCTACCAAATCTAATCTGATTCTCATCTGACTCTCGCACAGAAGAGACATCTCTCTTGGACACAAATAAAGCAATGTGATTTGATGTAGATTCATACTTCAGTTTTAAATTTGAAAAGAGAGAGAGAAAAAAAATAAGTTGAGGAAATATTGACACTTCTCTTTTATGCTTTAGCCAGTTCCAAACTGGCAAAGTCAAAAAAACCTTTAATTTTTTTCTTTCTGATGTTCCAGGTGTTTTTTCCGACTATGCTTTTATGAATGTTACTGCTGACAAAAACATGTTATATAATGTGACCATATTGATTTTTATCTTATTAAACCATTTTTAAAAACAACAACAACAACCTTGATCAATCAGAAAAATTGATTCTGGTCTTTCTCTATTTTCATTTTATATCTGGTGATGGAAGATAAAGATCATTTTTTAACTTCAGATATATAAAGAAGATCCAAGGAGTATTTAATCCAAACCAAATCTGTTTTTTTCCACATTGTCTTTATTATGCAGCTTTAATCATTTTTCTTACACTTATACAATATTTTGATTTAACAACCCTAAAAATTCTTTACATTTGGCTTTAAACTAAAACATAAATAATACATAATTGAAGGCTGAAAAAATTAGTCCTATGGTAACCCACAGTTTATTATTAATTTACTGTATAGTGGCATGCTTTGGGGGAGGTGGTTCTTTTAATGATCTGTTTTACTTAGTGGTAAACAAAATGAAAACATCTTTAACACGAACAAATTGGTAATTGCTTGCATCCTTGCAATCTGTAACATAAAGGTAAATATAACCTTGGACTGCTTGCCTAGATCCTTGCTGGCCATTAAATATCCTACATATTTGTTGTTTATAGGTCTGTCTCCATGATCTCTAGTGAAGGAAATGTTGTTGTTGGCTTTGATCGGTGTTTTAAGTTGGATTACTAGCTTCACCAGAATTTCTAGATAGCATATCAAAGGCTGGCACTATTTTCTCAACATCTGGTTTTCTGACCAGTAAAATCTATCTATCTGGCTGTGTGCATGTGTATGTTTCAGTATAATTCTGGAACGCCTTGAGCAATCTCAACCAAATTTGGTACACAGATGACTTACTCTCTGGAAACAAATATTGTGGGGGTAAGACACCCCTAATAACTCTCGGGATGTGTGTTTTGTTACGATATAGCCTGTTGTGCCTTAAAATGGTTTCTAGTGTACAACACAGTGGAGTTGCCCTGGCAATGGCTTTACAGTACTCCATAAGGGGGCTCCCTCTAGTAAGGGAGAAAATCTAACATTAGAAATTACGTTTGGTACAGACATTTTCCCCCTATAAATAAATACCCAGACAACACCGGGTTATCACATAATCATTTATAAAGAACATTCAGTTCTATGGAACACAAACTACAGTATCAGCTCAGATTTTAATATAATTTAATATGATTATTCCTGTTGCCATAAGTGAAAGTGATTGAATTCAGATACTCAGTGTGTAGTTGCTTTCTCCATAGTTGCCCTCATGCCATTCCACATTCTACTCTTCTGAAAAGACATTAGGGCAGCAAGGCTA